AGGAATGCAAACTGTTATTTAATGATGTAATTTTGGAGAGTGTATTGCTTTGCTTAGCTGTGCAGTTCAGTCCTGTGCATGCACTCTGGGAATAGATGCTCCTTTTGGATCATAGACAACCTGATTAATAATAAGTGGGTTACACATGCGAAAGCAAGAGTACATGTACTCTTAGGCTTTAACTCATTGCCTGATGAGTACAGCTGCCTTCCATGGGCTTGCGTAAGGAGCAGCAGCATCCAGAGCCACTCAAGACGTGTTCAAGTGCCTGGCCTGTTGGGTGTGAACCCTGTGCAGAGCTCTGCTCGTGCCAGGTTGGTTAATTTGTTCTGTGTAATCAGCAGCCTGTAGTGCGCCTCCTCTCCTGACCTGCTTTGTTCTCTTTCATTTCTTGAAATGTTTTACAGCGTGGCAGATACACTTCATGGAAAGGAAACGTGGGCTCTCTCTTCAGGATCACTCCATCCCTGAAATGAGAAATGGAAAGACCCATTGCCTTGCGTGGTCTTAATAGCAGAGATGGAAGGACATCCATCCCTGGCTTCTTTTCATATTTGTAGCCTTGGCATTAATTTAACTGTTGGCTTGTATTTCTTCCAAAGCAAGGATGCTGTGTCCAGCGCTATCCAGACGGCAGGCTCAGGGCTCCTGGATATTCACAGGAGCTGTACAGAACCCTCTGAACAGAGAGTCTTGCTGCTGGCAGCTTCAGGGTTGGTTGTGCAACCTCGTTATTAGATAATTCATCTAGAACTGCTGAGCTTGGGCATACGCAGACTCTGGCCATATTCCTAAGGGTATTTCATAATAAAATCCATCCTCAGTTCATTCAGAGCATGAAAAGGCACCTCCTTTGTCATGTATTGACTTAAAAATAGCAATGTCACAATTCTAGAACTGGTTTTTGATGTGAGGTGCCCTATATTGTTGTTAGCATTTTTTGTGGTGGGAAGAGAGAGGAAAGGAGATGATAAGGGGGGGAAATAGCAACCTGAGGCATCCTGTGATGTCAGTTCTGACAATAGAAAATGTTGGTTTAAGCGCCTAAGAAAGATGATGGCATCTCCTTCTAAAGCTACTGTGAATATTTCACTGTTTCATCTGATCTGGTTATTAGCTTTTTCTTCTCAGCTTGGGTAAACCAGGTGTGTTATGCTAATTGTTTCTTTTCTGTTTTTCTAATACAGTTTGATGTCTGTCCGCAGGTCAGGTTGCCCGCTAGGAAGCCATGCTTGGATATTAATAGCCATGTTTCAGCTAGCCATGGATTTCACCACCTGTGATCCTGTAGCCGGAAGCCACAGGTTTAGGCTCTTGCAAAGGCCATCACCCTGGCACAGGTTGTCCCATAGTCCTTTGTGGAGTTTTAAAAATGGACAGGAGCTGCGGATTGCCGGCCCTTCTTGGACCTACGTCTCTGCTCATCCCGACTGGCTTTATGGGCAAATCCAGAGGTACCGCTCGCGACGGCCACGCCGAGCTGCGGAGCAGCCCTCGGGCTCCCCTGCTAGGAGCGTGCAGGCCAAGCAGCCCGCTGGTGCAACAGCAGCCCTTCCCTTGGCAGCAGGGAGCCGTGGGAGCACGCGCCGGCAGCCTCATGTGACAAGGGGGAAGAGGCACCTGCGAGGCAGCGCTTTCCGTCAGAGAGACAGCAGGGCTACCGCAGTGCCCGAAGTCATTGTGTGGGGCCCCACGGGTGAGGAGGACTCCGTGGAGACCAGCATGCTCCCTGGGAACTTCGGCTCCACCACCGCCACCTCTGCTTGGCAAGCCAGAGCAACCACAGTGGCCACAACCACCACGACTGCTCTTTCCACCACTGCGCTGCCCAAAGGGCCCTCCCCC